TGTCTGTCCATGTTTCACGGATAGCTCTTCACGCAAAAAAAGTTCTCGTGCTATTACATTATCACCTTCACAATTTATGAAAGAACTTTTACTAATATTAAATAAACAAAATATTTTTAAAATACTAATATTATTATTATTATTATTATTATTATTATTTTTATTATTATTATTAATTATTTGTTATTACATTAAGGTTTTCAGGTGAAGCTGGTTTTCAATGAGATTTGATATTTTGGATATATATTCAATGTGGAATAAGCCAAATCGAATTCAAATATTTTACATAGTATTTAGTTTGCTTCGTTGGGATGCTCCACTAATATCAAAGGAAGATTATTAGGAATTTGATAATTTAAAAATTAGCATGTATAAAGCGATCCGATAATTATGATTTTCTATTGGATGATAAGTAAAGTAAAATAAAATCTTGGCGATATATTGTTAGGAAAATTTTGATTTATCCCTATTTTGCTATTCTCAATCTGTTACTTCTCTTTTATTCATTCAAAATGATTGGAATAATTTCAAGAAGGAAAAAGTTTAACTTCAAAAGTTTAGGAATTAATTAACGATTAATTAATCGTTAAGTCTTAGTAAAATACAATTTTAAAAAAGAATATTCACAATTTTAGCAAAAATAAATTTTTTAAAATTTAATTCAGTATCTGAAAATTTTTAAAATAAACCTTCTCATATAGATCAATATGGGAAATACTTCGAATGAGTACGCACGGAAAGACTTTGGAAGACAATTTCAATTCTCTATTATCAAATTTCACTTTTTTATGCTTTATTAACCGGTCAACTTTTTCACGCTTTATTAACCGGTCAATTTTTTTACACTTCATTAACCGGTGAGCTTCTTTACGCTTTATTAACCGATCAACTTTTTCACACTTTATTAACCGATCAACTTTTCACGCTTTATTAACCGGTCAATTTTTTTACACTTCATTAACCGGTGAGCTTCTTCACGCTTTATTAACCGATCAACTTTTTCACACTTTATTAACCGATCAACTTTTCACGCTTTATTAACCGGTCAATTTTTTCACGCTTTATTAACCGGTCAATTTTTTTACACTTCATTAACCGATGAGCTTTTTCACGCTTTATTTACCGGTCAACCATTGATAGAGAATATAAAGTTTCACTGTTAGATAATCGTTCATACAAAATATCGATTAGATTATTATTAATATATTATAATCCGAAGAAAGACATAATTACTTTCTCGTATTATTGGAAAGATATTTTACATATGCAAATTTAATAAAATTAAATTTTTACAATATGCATCATGCATTGATTGGACAAACTTAATCTGTCATCAATTTTGACTTATTTTGATAAATAGTGCTGCTTTTTTACTATTCGTATTTTAGTATCATATGATTATCGACAGCTTCTTATATATGTATATTATTTATATTTAATAATAATCTTAAGTATACCAATGAATTTACATAGAAATTCAAAATGGAAATTTGAATTTTTTTTAAATTGATATTTATATATCGTCAATTTAATAGTATTTTTTGATTCACTAATGACAGCAGTAATCAATATAACTATCAGCGAATAAGCATTACTATTACAACAACAGCAGTAATAACACAAACGTTTATTTTGACAACAACAACAACAACAATCACTGCCTAGTACGACACTAGGAGAAAACTTCGCACTCTTCGGATTCGACGAGTGAATTATTGGTTCAAAAGAGAGTTGATGTATTTTCTTGCCTAATATTCTTTTCAATGTTTCGTTTTGTTCCCGAATGCACTCAGCCAACAGCGGGAGATATTAAGGAATTCGTGGATGTCTTAAAAACTATCAAACATTTAGTGGTAATGACCGGTGCAGGAATTTCCACCGAATCTGGTATTCCGGATTATCGTTCACCAAAAGTTGGTCAATATGCACGTACTGATCATCGCCCTGTGCTACATAATGATTTTATGAAATCGTTAGCTGTTCGAAGGCGTTATTGGACTCGAAATTACGTTGCATGGCCACGTTTTTCCGCTTCACAACCTAACGAAACACATAAAACGATCGCGAATTGGGAGAAAAGTGAACGATTTAAGTGGCTTATCACGCAAAACGTAGATGGATTACATACAGCAGCTGGATCGAAAATGCTAAGTGAATTACATGGTTGTAATCGACGTGTTATTTGCATGAATTGCCATTCGTTATACAATCGGCAAATGATACAGGAGTGGATTCAGAAAGAAAATCCGAATTGGTTTGTGGAAGAGATTGGAGAATTGGCACCGGATGGTGATTGCGATATTCCGGATAAAGCTGTTGACAATTTCAATCTTCCAACATGCCCAAAATGTGGTCCCAAATCAATCCTAAAGACGGATGTTGTCTTTTTTGGTGGATTCATTGATCCGAAAATTCATGATAAATGTTATGACATGGTGGAAAGTTGTGATGGTATGCTGGTGCTTGGTTCTTCGCTCACTGTTCTTTCCGGTTATCGTTACGTTCAACAAGCATATCAGCGGTCTGTGCCAATTTTAATTGTTAATATTGGTTCAACTGCTGCCGATGATTTAGCTACCGTTAAGATATCTGGCAAATGTTCAGATATGTTAAAACATGTTCCAAATTTATAATAATATCATTGTCAGGGGTTAATTTCAGAATTATCTTTCAGAAAGTCAATTAGTTTCAGAATTTTTACGGTTTCAGAATTCAAAATTATTTTTGAGAGGTAATGTTGATTTCATTATTCATATACCAATTTCTAAGTGATTCAACGTCTGATACATAGAAATCAGATGAAAACTACATAACTTACTTAACCGAAAATTTTCCCATTCCGATTAATCGGAGGCAGCATGTTCCTTCTTTTATACGTTAACATCGTTTCAAATTATATTGCTTGAAAGATTTCTTATATATTATCTGGAAAACTTGTCAAGTTGCTTGTAACTTGAGAAATTCAAGAGTTACCTGTTATTTCCAAATTTAAATATAATAACTCATATAGAATTCATTACCGAAGCTTTTAAAATTTCAAAATCTATACACTGATGATATGTAACATGGATGAAATACAGTAGTACTTCGTAATAGCAATGGCATTACTTGCAGCTTGTTGTATATTTGGTTAGCGAGAAATAACAGCGATTATTTTTAGGCTTTCTCATCTAATTAGTTTGGTTGATCGATTACATATTGTCACAGTGGCTTCAACCATCTCTTATCATTATGTAGTAATTGGTTGAACTTCTTTACTTAAATCACATAAACATCAAAACTTTCTGTAGTCTTTAACTATGGAAATCGGGTCATTATAGTTTGCTGTATTCTTATTATATTTCTGCGAAAAATAAATATGAACAGTTCAGTCTTCAGTGCTTTTATAACAAAACACCTGAATTATTTTATTTATCTCAACGGAGCAAAAAAGATATTAAAATGATCATCGTAAACTTTAAAAATCTATCAACATATATGTATTTCATTATTTCTTTCTGGATTTCGTTTTTCCCTGCAAAAGGAGGAAAGCAGTAAGTGCAACAAACAGGAAAATACAGAGAATAAAACACATTGAAGTGAGAGCATACGGTAAAGTATGCATAAAATATAATAAAAGTAGTAGTAATAAAGTTGTCCACTATCAGTCAGTATTTTTATATTTTTATCGTTGACTTTAAAAATTTCGCTTTAACTACCATTCTGAAAAGATCTCAATGTGGAAAAAGAAGTAATCAGTTTACTAACCTTTTTTCCTTTTGCACCAGCATGATGTAATTTTTTGGAAAATTTACTGTTCTTTCCAATTTTCCTGCGCCTTCCACTAGCACTACCGCGTGCTGTATTGTCAGTACCTTTTTTGGTATCTTTCACTGCCATATAACTACCAAACTGGAGCAGTTCATCCAAAATATTCTGCCGATCTTGAATTTTTTTAATGTGCTTCTCTTTCTTCGTTACTTGCAGACGAATAAAATAGTCCTCTTCATATCTGAAACAAATAGAAATTTATGAAATAGAGGTGGATATAAGTGCAGTAAAATAGCAAAACATAGTTTCCACAACTACTAATAATTTCAACATCAGGCGGAGAAATTCAAGCATTTTCAAAATTTGAAAGTAAGAAAGTCTGCAAACAAATACAAATCGAACAAGCAGAAAACAAATATAAACTCGCTTTCGCTTCTCAATATCTTCTTGCTTTCTTTTCCTTACTATATTGTCATCCTGAAAATATTGAAAGTTTACGGGTCCTTTAAAAGATTTTAATTTGGTTATATTTATTAACATCATTTTTTCGAAGTATACCATAAAAAATGGTATACTTCGAAGAAATGATAAGAGATCACCAGCACTTCAAATTCGAATCGGTTTAGTTCCAGTTTATACTCCAGTTGGAAACTTTAGATTAAAAACTATCGGACGTCATTACCTGGAATTCTTCCGGAGCTTCACTATATTGTGCTTGCAGATCTTGTATCAAGCTACTCTGCATTGCTCGCCGCCTTGCCCGCTCCATTTTTCGTCTTTCCACTTCTTCCTCATCTTCTGTAAACTAATTTTTTTTCAGGTGATCATTATTTTTCTAGGTGATTAATTATTCATATGAAAGTAATGCGTATCTGTACTATCGGTAAACTGGAATGATTGCTAAAATTCTTTTTTTTTTTTTCAATTTTCAATTCTAATCCAAGAAGTGTTTATATGAAAAACATCATTACCATTGTAATGTACGGCCATAATTTTCGGTGGAACATATTTTTTAGATTTCGTTTCTTTCGAATCATCTTCATCGCCACCATCTCCTAAATCTAACTCCTCATTTTCATCGTCCACTTGCAGTCGTTCTGGATGTGGCCGTAATATCTGAAGGAAAACAGTTAAACAGAAAACAAAAGAAAACAACTATGCTATATTTGAAATTCCTATCAAATTATTTACTACTCTATTACTCCAGTAACATGAAAAAATGACCACTCCAAGATGCATCCACATTTTGGAGAGAGAAAAAAATCAGGCGTACCTTTGTACCACTGTTTGTTGGGTCGGATGCAAGTAAAACTAATTTTTCAACATAGCTTTTCATTCTCTGTTCAATAGGGCGCATTCGTTCCAAAACCTGCAATACTACCGTACATTTCAAATTTTTAGAAAATTCATTCAATTTCAAATTTCATCACAGAAAATTCAATTTCATGATAGTTTTCAGCTTAAAATTACAATTTCATATATAAAAAAAGAAGTGAATTTACCGTTCTCAAATAAACCAAACGCTCAATAGCTGGATCACCCTGTATACTGTTTCCAATACTCATTTGATACATCAAATAAACCAAATCACGCGTGTATGCAAGCAAATCGTGATTTTTCACTTCATAGAACGATATTCCCTGCAAGAAATTAGTAAATATAGTAGGTGGATGAAAGATTCTGGAAAGAAAAGTGGAAATATAGCAAAAGATAAAGGAATTAACTATGGTTTAAAACAATATTAAATACACAACAAATTCCTTCCTTGAAAATTTCTGGATTGAAATAACTTGTCAGAAAACTTTCAGAGGGAATCCAGATTATAAACAAGTATGGAACGAATAACCAATCCAAGAAATTAATGGCAAAAAGGAAATTTGATTGGACTAATAATGAAATTGACCCAAAAGTAATGGATTAATGGTAGGAAACAATGCCTGACATCTCGTTCTTTTTCTTTTTGAAGTTGAATACAGAATTCCTTGGCCACATTTAGCAGCTCAGTTGATGTTTTCACGCAGTCGGCAACAACACTAGCGAAACGTTTCTGCTCTTCTTCTGACATACCGGAAAATCGACTGACTGAAGAAATGTCCGAGATAATGAAACAGCATTTTTTCCAAATATTCACATTCAACGCAATTGTGAAGAACGGATAACATTTGACTAACCAATCACTTCGCTATTTCCAACGAAAATTAATCACTTTGTTGTCAAAAAACTAACAATAGCCCTTGCTAAAACAGGAATTTACATTGTATGCCTCAATACTGCCCTGCATGATAAATGTTGTATTAATAATTCAACATGTTGAAGGGCTTCCCCATTGAATTTGTTACCTCCAGCCTGCTAAAATTTAAAAAGATCAGAAAAACGAAAACAAGAATCTGAAAGAACCGTTTTGATATCAAGTTCAAAAATCAAAAAATTTCGACAGTCAACATCACTCATAATTCATTAAATCACAGTTCGTGTGAAATATCGGTGTTCCGAACAAATTATCGAACTTTGTCGTTCGCTGAATAATTGCACTTGATTGCATAAACAACTTTTAAATAATCACAAACACTTTTGAAATGACCAGATAAAATCATCCGAATTAAACAAATTTTTCACTATATAAAACTTAAATTTTAGAAGACAATTTTGACAATATTTCTGAATTCAATTAGTGCTTTACCTAGAGCGCAATGAATAAAACAGCACTGAGCGTAAATTTGGCTATTAGCAGAAAGATAATTTGATTATTCCATGCATCTTATTGCACACATGCTAATAAACAGCATTTCTAGCAAAATAATCACGGTAATTCAAAATCAAAATACCATTAGCAAAGCAAAAGAAACAAATTACTAATCACTTCGTCCCTCCAATCTACAATATTAAAAAAAAACACCAGGAAATGAACCGAAATCAAAATTTGATCACTTTGAATTATCTGAGATGTCGCGTAATAACAACCTTTTAACAATCTTAAATTTTTTTCATTCCACTAATCAAAATCTTCTAATTCATGAAGGCACTTATAACCCGTATTTTTTCATTCTAAACTCAAAATCTTCTAATTCATAAAGACACATCTGAGGTCAAAAAAAGAAAAGGAACGGCCGGTTAACACTTCTAACAGATTTTGCGAATTTCGATTCCCTGGAAATCGAGATTTTCCATTGTACTATAACTGGCGTCGCACGTCATTATCATCAGGACACTTAATAGACGACCTTGTCCGGCAAGCAACTGCATAACTGTCAAGGAAGTGTTACAGTGAAATACGCGAAGAGTTTGGTATCCCAAACGATTACCAATAAGTACATCCAACTTAATCAGATACATCCGTTATGGCTACACCCTGGCTCCTCGTTACTCATGCTTGCTTCATTTTTTCCTTCATTCGCGTTCGAGTTTGCCCGACTACCGGTTGCATAAGCAACAAACATTTCCTTTAGAAATGACAATTCTTTTTGAAGCCCTTCAACCTAGAATAAAATAATGACATTGCAAAGAGAGCAAGGAAAATGATAGCAGAGTTAGCAAAGAAGAACAAATTAAAATTTTTAATATATTCATGTGAATTCTAAAAACCCATTTAAAATGAAAAAGAAAAGTAAGACGTTACAAAATGACATTTGATTTTACAATTTCGAAAATGTTTTTCTCATGTAAAATTTTCATGACAACATCTTCTAAACTACCACAAGAGCTACATAGATATCTGTTAAATTTAGAAACAAACAACTACCTTTTTTTCCAGTTCAACATTCTCCTTCCTTAAATGTTCCACTCGCAGCACTGTATCTGTTTCTTCTCGCCGCTTCTTTTGGCGAGTTCTGCAAAACTAAGACTGATTTTATTGAATCAAACCAGCTATTTACCATTAAAATGTAGAATTTAGTGTTCAAAAAACAAAGCTTCTAATTTTAATAATATTAAATAGTTTTACAGAATTTTTAAGAAAATTTTTTCGAATATTTCCGGATTAATCATCCTGGAATACCAATTAAAAAAATTAAGATTTCTTATCAAATATCATCAAACAGTGCAAAATAATTTCGCAATTCAATTGAATGAACATAAAAGAAGCAGAGAGATAAACCTGTTAACAGCATCGTTATTTCGTTTTCTCTTCAAAATATATTCCTCATCACTCAATTTGTCACCATCACATGAAACAGCACGTTTCCGCGTGGCACTACATTGAGATGGATCAGCTGGTACCATTCTCTTGAAGACAAAACGCGCGGCTATTGGGATTATTGATCAACGTTGTCTATTGTTAATTCAAGTAAAAAAAAATACAATCAACGTTCATTTTATAGTACGTGTACGCTATACGTAACCTATACATGAATAAATCTATTGCTATCACGTAACCATTTCTGCAACTATTAACAATTATCCATTAAATGATGAATTGGAAATTAGAAACAACGAAATAAATGCAATGCATATGTAACACGTATTTGCTATGTATATCATCACAAGATGATGAAATTAAAAAACATAAAATTCGCAAAGTAATCCTGAGCCTATTTGATCGCATGATCACGTTATTAATTGGCATAACAAATATAGGCCTAATTTGCAATGACTTTCTTGATTATTGATCTTACCTTTGATCAATCTAACAAATTGAAACCTATGGAATCAATCTAATCGTCTAATCTAATCGTAATACAGATTGAAACGTAAGCAAAGAGACTATAATGTGTATATGTGTATAACAGAGAGTGAGAGTAAAGTTTGAAAAGATAGTACGAAAGTTGGTAGAGAATGTAGAATCTTATGAAAAAACTATTGTTAGAGATTGAAAATATTTGTATGATAGTAATAATAATGATTATGTTTTAATGAAAGCATCAAAGTTTACTTATGGATTGATGTACATTTTACAGAGTGTATATTTGATGTATGAATGAATAGCTATTTATTGAATGGAACAAATAGTCAGTAAATATGGCCGAAATTTCTGTAAGCTTTTCTTTTAAACTGATAATATGATAAGTTGGAAATTATGAAATCACTGAAATAAGTGACAGCTAATTTTTCATTTCATCATACATTAAAATTATTTTAAAAAATTTTATTTTTAAAAATTATACTTACAAAATTTTCAGTCTCTTATTATTATTATTATTTACTATTATTATTACTATTATTATTATTATGATTATCATTATTATTATTATTAAAGGTTAGTTTTAAAATCATATGGAAATTTTAGAAGATTATGGAAGCTTTACTGTTTAAAGTTTTATTAAGTCGATGTTAGTTTCCTTGATGACATCCAACGATTTATACTTAATTAAAAACTGTTATATTATCTCTCTGGCTAATTCATAGTCTCATCTAAAGGTGTTAGCTGAATTTTAGGAATGTAATGATACGAACGATGAGGATGCATCGTATTTCGTGCGTAAATTAAAATTTGGCGACAATGAATTCAAAATAAACCAAAGATGTATTGGACATGTTAATTGCGTTGTTTGGGATAGTGCTATTGTAGCATGTCATTATTTTGTTCGACTTCAATCATTTTGGAAACGAAAAAAGGTATTGCATATAATTTTATACTGGTTGATTTATTATAATAATAATATTTATTTATTATTGATTTATTAACAGTTTGGAAAATTCAGATTGCTTATGGGAAAGTGGGAAGTTTTATGAAATTGTAAACTAATGAGTGAAATTTAAACGAAATAGAAAGAAGGCATTTGGGTTTCATTGAGAAAATAAAATTGGAATCTGTACTATTAAAAATAAAAAGATTCTGAAATTTTTGTAGTTTCCGCTTTCATAGCATAATATTATAGTTGCGTTATTGTTGCAGTAGTTATTTGAATTTGCACTTTCTTTGATATAATATCACTTTATCAAGTTTTATTAATTAAGAAATAGTTAGAGATTGCAATTGGAAATTTTCAATGATATATTTTATCACCAGGTTCTAGAACTTGGTGCTGGAACAGGAGTGTGTAGTATACTGTTAGCAGCATTGGGTGCAGATGTTGTGGCAACTGATTTATCGGAAGGAATCAAATTATTGGAGCAAAATATTCGGAAAAATTGGGAAGTGATAAGAAGAAATGAAGGTTCTGTTAAAGCTGAAATTTTGGATTGGAATAATCCTTGTGATAAATCGCTTTCATTTGACGTTCTTATAATGATCGATGTAATTTATTACATAAAGGTAAAGTTTCGCAATTTTGTCACTTTTTTTATTGTTCTTAATTTGATTGCTTTTTTGAGAAGTATAATGTTTGAGTAGAACTTTTGTCATACTCATTAAAATAACTTCATCTAGAAATTTTGAACCTCCTGTTATCGATCTGCAGCAGCATACAAGATCTCTTGTAAATAATACCGAGAGTTTTTATAGATAAACTTGGTAATTATTGAATTCCAAAAAATTTTAGTTCACTTATCCTTCTATCGATTAACAAATATAGCTTAGGAAATGAAAAGTTATTCACCGAAAGATATAATTTTTACACTTTATTTTATATGCGATACAAAACTATGGTTAAGACTTTATATCTGAATTTAGGCATTAGAAGGACTTGTTAGAATAATATTACGATTGGAAGCGGCAACGATTATTTGTTGCTACGAAGTGCGCGATATTGGAGAACCGAAGGTTGCTCAAGAAGGATTTTTTGAAATGATATCTCCTTTTTTTAATATTTGCCCAGTAGCAGATAAGGAGTTAGATGATGTATATAAATCACCAGATATCAAAGTACTACGTTTAGTGCGTAAGTGATAATTTAATCATTTAGAAATGATCGTAATTTTTCTCTTAATTAAATAATTAATACTCTACTTTTTAAACAGAAAACAAATCTTTTTATCAGAACTAATTAATTCATTTTATGATTGTAAAGATTCTTAATGATCTTATCACTTATAATCCTGCACTACGAAATCCTTTTTTTGCTCAATCTGTATATTAAAACTCTTTTGGCCGCTTTAGATTGCTTAGTTGTTCACAAAGATTTCATTAAAATTCTATTCAATAATTAATTCACTTTGATTACTTCCGCAGTTTTGTTTGATTTCTGCTTCAATCGTTAACTTTTATCATTGATCATTGCTGTTATTGATCAAAGCAATCTTTTTAGCATCGTTTTGTTGTGGAGAAAACAATCAAATTCTAAATTTACAACTATTCGTATTTGCATAATTGTTGAATTCTTATCGGTGATATATGTACTCAACTATTTTGTATGCTGATATTATGTGTGCAAAAGCAGAAAAATGATGCCATTGCAAAAAATGTTTTATATTCATATTTTATAATTATATTTTTACTTTTTCATTAGCTGATTAATTTATAAATTTCCCTTATTATTCCTATAATTTTGTTTTGAAATTTTATTGTTTGGAATCATCAAACTTCGGATATTTGTTTGTGTATGACGATGTTATAGTCAAGATGCGGATTAATTTTTTTCTGATTGATCTTGACAATTCGAATGAATTCATGTAATTTCTGATTAAAGGCGATATTTGAAAAGCTCAATAAAATTAAAATTTGCATATTTCAATGTGGTTCTGTTGCAATTAAAGTGATATAATTCCAGCAAATTTTCTGTAAAACACATGTTGGATTTATTCTTAATTATTGACAGTAATATAAATGAAGTTTTTCCTTTCTGTGATAGTGTGTTAAAATTTTGTACTCAATTTTGATAAATAATCTGTCTGAGTAATTTGCAAAAAACACTTTGAGCAATTTCGAAGGAGTAAATTATATATAATCAATTTGAAGTTTTTGGTATTATATACCTTTTTTTATTGTAGAAATCATGTATGATCCATCATCCAGTGCGAACATCAATGAAGCAACAATTGACCATTTTTCGTTGGACTGGACGATTGATTTTTGTAAATGTCAGATATCTGGAAATGTTGTTTTGTCGATACGTATCATTAGAGCAACTGATAAAATTGTAATTTTTCTTTTTACAACATTTGCTTTCAAAAGATTCTTAATTTCTCTCTAATAAAATCTCTCTCCAATTCCATTTTCATTTATTTCTTCAAATTTTTTTATATCGTAAAATCATTGGAGATTTTTTGTTTTGTAGAATATTTGTTTTCATCGAGATAGGAGCAGGATTATCCGACTGTCCAATTAGCGTTTCAGCTGATAATGCTCAATTATAATGATTTATATTGTTACAAATCAGATTATGGGTGACCTTTTTTTTTAATATACCCAAATATTTTCGCATAGAAATTTGTTCCATTTCTGGATACCTTACTAAAATGTTGAAAATAAAACAATTTTATACTTTAAAATGAGCAAATAATATTTTTTAATTATTATTGATTTTTGCAAAAATTTGTAATGGAGTACGGTCCTGGAAGTTTAACAGCGTTATTATGCGAATTTGAGAAGGAATTTAAAATTGTTGGAAGTCATTAAGTATATTTTTCTTTATTTCCACTTTTTTATTAGTATTGTTGATAGCACAGAAATTATCAATGATTAAGTAATGTTTTCAGATATTGGATAGTCAATCATTGGAAATAGAAAGCATTAAATTGGATAACAAAATCGTCGACTACCGTATGGAAAATGCTGACATTCTGGGTGAGAAAATAGTAATTGATGTGGGTAAACGAGAAAATGGAGACAAATTGTAGGTCATTTAATTGATTGATTAGTTATCGGTGACAGAAATTTTATTCGCTTAATTCATTTTGGTTTTACGAAAAAGATATTTTTTCTGAAAACAGTATTTACGCTGTATTATATATGGCAATGATTATCAGAGAAACGATTTACGGGTGTAAGTCAAATTCCACGGAGAAGTAGAATTCTTGTGAATTTTAATTTATTGAGAGAGAATTATTTTCCTGAATTTACATTTACGAAATAAAATTTAAAGCATCAAAGTTATTAGGTTACTTCTTAGCGAATGATATGTAGAACTACGTGCGAATATTTTAGATTATTAAATAGTAAATTTACCACCTTAATTTCAGTAATCTTACTGTCATCTACAATACAGGCGAAAAATGCTCGGCATTGCAATTTTTAAAAGCCGAACAAACAGTCACGAAAGAAAAACCTTATTTATTCAGCCAATGTCAGCACATATATGCTCGTTCAATAATACCATGTATGGATACACCTTCCGTGAAACAAACTTACGATGCTGTGGTAAGATTACCGTTTGTTTCTTTTGTAAATTGCGTTGTCGAATTTGGTTTTATATTTTCTAAGTTCAAGAACTCGATCATTTTGAATCATGCCAATCCATTTCTTATTTTTTGAAATATTAAAGCCAAAGTATATCAATATAAATATGGAAAATATTTTGCACTAAAATTTGGGCTACTTTTTCAAGAGTTTTAAATTATACAAATAACTTAACATCATCTTTATCTTAAAACGATATTTTTTCGCTCCTTCATAATCTTTAGATAGTACAGTCATATTTTTGATTTTTTATTCAGGTAGCTGTCCCCAGTGATTTAGTATGCCTTATGAGTGCAGTCGCCGTAGGCGAGTCGGAAGAAGTGGGAAAGTTAAAGAAATATTCATTTAAACAATCAATACGAATACCTTCTTATCTTTTGGCCATTGTTGTTGGATTAATGGAGAAGCGAGATTTGAGCACACGCTGTGCAGTTTGGGCTGAACCAACTGTAATTGATAAAGCGTTTTATGAATTTGGTGAAACGGAAGAGATGCTAAAAGCTGCTGAAAGTATAATCGGAAAATATGAATGGGGAAGGTATGTAAAATGATTTTTGTTTATTACTTTATGGTTGTAATGACTTATATGACTTAATGAAATATCCGAAAATTAAGTGCCTGTATTTTGCTATTTTCTTGTTTTTGTTGACTTGAATACTGACACTGGTAAATTTCTTTTGCTGGTGAATTTACTTGAAATTGCTATTAAGCCATTCTGTCTTTATTCGTTTTTAAAGAATGATCCTTCAGTTTGGTTCGATCAACTAAATGGATTAAGTTGTTAAAGATATAAAATTAATGACAAATCTAATGAATTAATAATATCAGATATGATTTGGTTGTGCTTCCGTCGTCATTTCCATTTGGTGGTATGGAAAATCCATGTTTGACATTTGTAACTCCGACCTTATTAGCTCGTGATCGATCGGCAGCTCATGTGATAGTTCATGAAATTTCGCACAGTTGGACAGGAAATTTAGTTAGCAATGCTAATTGGGAGCATTTTTGGTAAATGCTTTTCGATGATATTTTGTTTTGGTGAAAGTTTAATAATTTTAGTATTCTATCCTATTGTGGGTTTAGTTGAACTGTTTTTACTTTCTAGGATATTAAAAAAATATATTTCCGTACGATAATGAGTAGAGTTCTGAGCGAGGCATCCATTAATGGAAACTCTCAAGATTAGCTTAAACAGCTTAATGATGCGATGTTAAGTGGAATATTTTGAAAGAAACATCTTGAAAGGAGTGTTTTTTAATTCATAGTAGGTCTAAACAGCTGAAAATGTTTTTGTGGAAATTTTAATAAAATTAAAAATTTTATTTTTTCAAAAAAACGCTTGTTATTTTTTCAGGCTAAATGAAGGTTTCACTACATTCCTAGAACGTAAAATAATAGGAAAACTGGAAGGAGAAAAACAACGACAATTCGAGGCTCAGTGCGGTTGGGAAGTAAACTTTTAATTTTATTTATAGCATACATAGTGGTCATTATGTGGGATAGTGAAAATAAAATTGTTTCAGGAACGTCTGATGAGTGCTGTTGAAGAACAGTTTTCCAATGATGATCCATTCACGAAATTGATACCAAATTTGCAAAACAGACATCCTGAGGATGCATATTCGTCGATCCCGTACGAAAAGGTTTATTTTATTAATTTAAAATTTCAAAGTATGTTTAACTGTTTTAAATTAATTGACATACAAGTTTGGTTTTCGATGTATGAACCAGGCCATGTTCATTTTCCGATCTTTCTGGATTTTTTCCTATTTTCAGGGATCGGCTTTTCTCATGATTCTTGAACAAAAACTTGGTGAAACCCAATTCAACAAATTCCTGAATAAGTATATTGAGAAATTTGCTCAAAAATCAATAGTAACTGACGATTGGAAAGCCTTTTTATATGAATTTTTCTCGGATAAAAAGAATGTACTTGATAGTATTGATTGGAATAATTGGTTATATGATACAGGAATTCCTAAAACAAAACCGCAGTAAGTCAAGAAGGCTTGTTATCTAATTTCTTGACATATTTTCAAAATCTAGTTCACAGCAATGAATTTTTCGAAATCACTGCGTAAAAGCTCAAACGTCATTTTTCCGCATTTAAACAGAAGCATCATTTCCGTCCCTTATCTTGAATCAGATAACTTGAAATATAATTAAAAGATTAAAGTGACACAATTTTTGCGCGTATATTCTATTGTTTGAAAAATTTGATCTACAACTACAATTAAATCACATTAATTCAAAATTCAAGGAAATATTATTGTTGTTCATTCCATAGTTTTATTTTTTAATTTGCAGATTTGATGGTACAGCTATGCGTGAGGTTGTTGCTTTGGCAAAGGAATGGACGAATATGACGGATTCTGAAATAATGAATGTTGATAATTCGAAATACCTCTCTCTTTCTGCATTGCAGAAGGAGAAAGTGTTGAGTCATTTACGACTGGTTAGATTTCATTTATCATTTAATACGATATTTATTTTCTTCTTCGATTCAACAGGCAGTGTTTTTGTGTTTCAAATTGCGTGATGCATTCAAATAAATCCAGGCAAAAAATTGTTACATAAACTGCGACTGTTACATAAACATATCATGCTGGCAACTTTGAATATTCCTATCACAGCAAGAAATTAATGGAAGAAAAAGAAACAAGAAAGGAAAACGGTAGACAGCATATGCCATTAAGAGATAGAATGAAGCAGTAGGAGAGGGATTTACAAATCATCTCTTCCTCATCGTTTAAATTATTCATCTGCAGCTTTCAGGCAAAAAAGCCACTCTCACATGTGAAATTGAAACGTTTGGATGAAGTAAACCAGCTCTCAAAAACTGGAAACTGTGATATTTTATCGAGTTGGATTCAGTTATGTTTGAAAAATTACTGGAAAGACATTATACCGATTGCTTTTGATTTTATCACAAAACAAGGTCGGATCAAGTATGTACAACCAATTTATAGGTAAATCCTTTTCGCATACCGCTTCAAAGTTATCTCATTTACAAGTAACTACCACAATAGGAATTATATCTGTTATGAGAAAAGATAGATTTCTTAAGAGACATCCTAAGGGTTTCTCAGTAAATCGAAATTGAAGATATGAATGGCTGAAATTATAGAAATCGAAAGAACCTGAATTTAAAGGAACTTTTAAATCCCTTTTCACAAACTGCTATGTGTTTTGAATCATAAGAATATTTTTGATCTCTTCAACGTCGAATCTTAAATTGCTATAAAACAAATACTTCGTTCACTACTAACTACGGATATTTTGCTATCAATGAATTCTGAAATGCACTCAGTTTCTTAATTTAATTTCTTTTTAATTCGTTTTACTTATGCTTCTACACTCAGACTGTATTTTCTATGTTTTGTTTGATAATCGATATTTTTTCACAGTTGTGAAGAATTTAAATTGCATTGTTTCTACAGAGATCTTTTCCTTTGGTCAGAAAGTGCTGGTCCTGCAATTGAGTTATTCAGAAAAAATGCTCCTTCGATGCATCCAATTACAGTATCGATTGTGGCAAAGTTGATTCCAAAATAAATCTCACCCGATTGAAAGGCAACTTATTCCATTTTTTTCTTACACTTTTTCTGATAGTTATTTTTTACTTATAACTTTGAGACCCGCTTATTTTTGTATTGTTATCTTGTATGGTTTTTTTGTATGGTTCATTTTATATAATTGGAATGCCTTTACCGATACTGACTTACAAAGAGCTCGTTATGGTTTTCCTTTTGTTCCTATGTTACTCTGTTTGATAGAAATATGCATTCTAGAAATTTGATGAACGTAACTATTCCCTTCTTCCTTAACGATAAGGGATGAGCATTATTAACTAGGCCCCCACAGAAACCGAAAACTGCTGAAATCTTTCGGATTCCAGAAGTCTCGCAAAATTAACAATAACAACAATCAAGTTCCATTTTTCCTTAAAGATGAGAAACGACGACGGTAGCAAAATTCAAATAAAAACTATGAGTATTTCACAATTCTTCCCAATCGCCAGGTAACTTTTCACGCTTACCAAGGCCAATCAAGGCGGCCAGTGCTGCCACCTGAAATTGATCAAATCCACTAAGCAACCTTTGATTAATAAAATAAAAAGGTTAACTTGTGAAACGACAAAGAACTACCTGTTCGGCCATTCTTTTGTTTGGTTGCCCAATGCGCGATGAGAACTTCCTACTGTCGACTTCAGCGGTTGCCTCATATCTTTTATCAGTTATACGAAGCTTCTGAAATTAATCAATCAAAGCAAAAAAATGAAATTTTGAAAACTTAAATGCAAATGATGCAATTTTTTAAGATTCAGATGAAAAGAATTATAAGTGGGAGAAATTCACATGTTTTTTTCCACCCCATATGAGATTCATCTTTCTTGGTAAGGTTCCTCTGATTAAATGTCCTATCTTCTGATTTGAGTGAAGGAGCTTTCTCCATTAATTCTTGTACAAAAGACTGCCATGGAAGTGTGGAAAAATAAAGCTTAGTACTTCAAAGTACATAATTCTTCAGCAGCGCACAAATAAAATGGTGAAACTTGATCATAATTATAACTTACGCATTGATAAATTGGTCGTTTGATCCCACTTTCATCGCATAAAATATTCAAAACACATTTTGGAGTTACTGCTCCACTTCTATCTCTAAGTCGCTTACTAAACAATTATTAATATTTTCGGCAGACGATAGACAAAGAAATTATTAAAGGTTAAAACGGTTTTAGCATTTACATGTGAACCATCAACGATTTTGCAGGTTAAATGACCAGACGCTTGATTATATTGGCATTTTTTAATCTACGTAGATAGGACATTGCTATGCTATTATATGGAGATGTTGCACTGCACAACCAAACAGCAAAATGATATCTAAGACGAATTTCTGGCAGTGAATAAAATTGGTGACGAATGTAGCTACTAACAAACTCTTTGTTGCGATAACTAATTTCATAGAACCATAATTATCTTAAAAACTTACGCTGGAAATGTGAGATCAATAAAACTTATTCCTGTTTCACTATCCACTTCAAAACTTCGCCTTTGTGTTGCTAGCCTTCGAATATTTTTATAACAATGATACATATCACTAACGGACCACGCTTTGCAAATGTCTGAAACACTTCCTGCTAAGACAGTTTCTCGCCCGCGTTCATCAGTTTCCTGAAAAATTATACTTTGAAGAGTTATATTTCGGGACTATTTTTACAAAACACAGTGAAGAATTCCGATAAACAATAGAATTATATAAGTGTCCATCCTATTAAGGCATCCACACATAAAAGCAAACACTACTTAATAGACTAAAGAATTGGTAGTAACTTAGCACCTGCTTAGATCCAAGAATCCTCTGCACCACATATTTTGTCGAAGTGAAGCTTTCATCATACTTGCAAGCCTGAAATACCAAGAAACATGCAAATTTAACTTTCCACTAAATTTCGTCCTAATATAAGTAAGAAATAGGAAAGAAAAATAGCAAAACGAATTTTAAAGAAAAGAAATCTATATGGTAACATCAGTCAATGACCATACTTCGATTTGAGAAGCTAAGTATTGAATAATAGTATCAAAATAATTTTGTTAACTAAGAATAAGATAATCTTAGCGAGTTATAAAAAACAAACTGCACTTCTTTACATGTTAGATTTACAAAATTTCTTATTATAAGAATTATTAAATTCAATAGCTTTATTCAACTCTAAGAAAATTCAAGATTAAGAAACGATCACCAGTTTTAGAAATTCGCATATTTCTTTCTCGAACGACACGAAACCTTTTGGACGAAATATGCTCGGACTACTGAGAGCTTTTCTTGCTATCATCACACTACTTGCACCACTTTGCTCCCAAAACTTCACAATATCTTCATATTCTTTTATCGAACCGGAGAATCCACTACAATATTATACAAAATGAATTGCAGAATTTCTTTCGAAATGAAAATTTGTTAACGAGTGCTTTACAGTGGAATATGGATTCAGCTATTTTAAGCTTAGTGTATGAATGGCAACTTCGAAAAACATTGTTTTGGGCAAATATATGTTCAATATCCCAACTTACTTCGCGATAACTGGTACAGAAACTATTCGAGTGACTTCGCGGATCTCATTTAAACGATTCATATCACTTTGTCGTTCACTTCTACGTCGACCATGTATACCGATTGCCGAAACACCGCACCTTTCGAGCATCTTTACGAATTCGAGTGTATCCTCCCGCTAAAAGCATAAAATATATAGATTTTACGAAAATACAAAATTGAATCGTCTAAATCACTAGTGGAAGAGACTAAAACTTCATAAAAACATAATATGAGATGCTTCAATTAGTAAAAGCATTAAAAGTAAACGCATGTATACCTTATCTAAGACACGTATTTTGCAAGAGATTGGAACCGCTGAAGTGGAAACACATGCCTGTACTATCTGAAATTCAAAATCATATTAAAATTTTAAGCGCTTACAAATTTTATTACATAAAAGGTAACAAACATATACTTTGTACATGATATTAAATGGACTTCAAATTAAAAATTAAATTTTAGTAAAGACTGATAAAAAAGCAAGCAAATGCATTATTCTACTAGAAAGGAAAAAACGTACTTCTTAAAATATTTTGCAAAGTAGCACTGCTCTCGAGAATTATGTCCTTTTTTCAATACATACATGTTTGTCAACGTAAAACTCATTGATTAAGCCGTACATAACTAATCAGGGTGGAGATAAGTAATTATATACCGTCAAGCTTTCAAATGCGCATTACATCAAGTTATTGATTAATTTAATTTAAATCTTATTTAGTAAGATATCGAAATATATGAAATAACTTATACCTCTTTCGCCCTTTCAGAATTTCTTAACAAAGCAGCACCCATACCGCCAGCTATTGAAAATGGTTTCGGACATCCCATATTGATGTCAATTGCTGCTACATCCTTTTCACTGAAAAGTGGAGAATTAAAAAATGTGGTTTATATTTAAATTCAGTAACTGCTACACTGTTAAATGATAAAACAACGTATACGAAGAGTCGGAAAAGCGGCCCTGTAAGTGAAGTAAATTTAAGAATAAAGCAAAGGCAAGAATTAAATATCAAATTAACAAACATACACTTTTTTAACAACATTCGCGGCTCGTTGTGCATCACTTGTTCCCTGGAAGTAAAATTTTGATTTCAGCTCTTCCTTGTATAGGTTTCATTATTTCTATCTGTTGGAGTCCTATCCCTAAATAAAAAAGACTTTCTCAATCTTTCCGAACACATGTCAGATTTTATGATTAAATTAGATGCTACTTACCAAACTGTCAGTTAATCCCAAAAATGTAATCTTTCAGAATGATCCACAAGACTTACAATTTGTAGGATACACTTCTGCTTTTCACTTCGATTACATATTCTCAAAACGACTTCATCTTTGCAAATATAATCAGTTGTTCCAAGTGTATCTGTAATTATTCTTCTCGAATTTTCAATTATAATCTTTTTTTTCTTTTTCTCAGAACTGCAGCTGGTTTCAAGAAAGAACTTCAAATACTCCGAGAGAGAATTGGAAATCCCTCTTAAAGTGAATTTTATGAAACTTAGAAGATAAATATTTAGTTGTTTGAAAGCTAGCAATTTATTATTACCATTTATTATTCGTTGAGAACCTAACAGTTTCTGGTCAACAATTTCCTCTGTATACACCAGATCAGCGCCATACTTCAACACCAAAGTTCTGCAAGAGTTTTGGTAAGAAAAAAAAAGATATGAATAAAGAAAATATATCGTAACTCTAACTGTATGTAAAATGTTAAAATCAAAAACTTGTCATTACTAAAACCAAAATATCGCCTCTTTACTTGTAAGTCGTTTAAAGAATTAAGCAACTGTCAAGATGGCTATTGCTTCCAAAGCAAATGATTGAGAGACAAATTTCATGTCACTCAATCCTACTCATACAACAGCGACTTAGCTGCGACGATTTTTTGAAAATATGTATATCAACCTTATTTCCATTTGTCAAAATATAACCTAAAATTTTTTCAGACGCTTTTTTTATTACTAATAAAAGATAGCTGAGGGTCAATAAACTTTAACCCCACAATATTTTTGGAGATTACTAGCAGTGATTCAGCGAATAAAGGTATCGACCAACCTAAGCGGCGTCCTACCAGCTCGTACCATTGGAGCTAACATCAACTTCTTTTCATATAAACTGCTATCAGCCATTATCACCTCAAAACTTGATTTTGCGATGTAACCAACATCTACGTATTCCGGCACAACTTTAACAAAATCCAAGAGTGAAATCCAGATAGGAATACTATATTAGTGACAACATTATGAAAATATTGAAGCATTATCACAAATAACGCAATTATACGAATCGAAATGTCAATTACTATTTGTCCCTCAATTCTTTTGAATTCAAACTTTAAAATTCTTGTCCAATCACAATTGTCTTTTGCTGATTCGAAAAAGATAACGTTTCTTATGCAAATAAAGCACAAGTACCACGAAAATATGAGATACTCTCCGAAAACAATATCAACCGACCTAATTGATTTTTCTAAACAAATAATCAAATATTCAGTAGTTGAATCTTTTCTGATGAATGCTAAAGTTTGATAAGAATTTTAAAATAGACATTGTTCTACTCGTCATTGCAGCATAAAATAATCGGGAATATTTCGTTAAAGTTTCTTTATTCACACAATTTATGTGTCAAATTAAAAAAGTGTTTCTTGTTTATTTTCATGTGAAGCTATGACAAACTTGAAAAAAAAACACAAAGTGCACAAAAACTCAAAGTTATCAGGTTTCAAAAATGAATTTAAATCTGAAATTAAAACCAAAAAAGCGATCAAATACATGACTAATGCAGAATATACTCAAATATATATGCATGTGTATAATTACATATACATAAAATGTCACAAGAGAAAAAGAAGAGTACCATAATTTCCGGAAAAAAAAAGGAAGAAAGAACGAATTGAAGAAACAGAAATGCGTTTGAAAAATGAATTACATGCTAACTTTATAATTTGACCAGAGAGACAGAAAATATGAAGCCAAAAATACTTCTCAAACCCGGAAAATCCTGAAAACCTTTCCTGAAACTGAATTCTTCTAGGCAATAAACCAAATTTGCATATTCTGGGAAGGATAATAACATGATTTTGGTATGCTATATATTATAATCAGAAAAGATTGAACATATGCAAAGCAGTTAAAAAGATGCATCGGATGAAAATAATTGCTAGGATTTGCATGAAAAATGAATGCCAAGAATTGTTTTACATGGAGCTATTTTATGAGTTTCAATAACATTGCTATGAAATTCGAATTCAAAAAAATTTGAAAATTGAAGTCAATTATGGCCTAAAAAATCAGGTATTTACAAAGCAATAAAATTTCGTGGAAAATCAAATTGAAAATCGAAGTGGATGTCTACTGAAACGTTATGTACAGTACTATTGCTACTACTAATGAAGTAAAATTGTAGTCTAGGACCAGAAGAAAAGGGACAATATGCATAAAAGTTAAAGGGCCAATAGAATATCAAAATCTCCAAAAAATTGCGATAAGAGAGAAAGAAATTTGAAAATATCTCAATGTTTAGAGCAATTCTAAGTTTCAAATCCAAGAAACGAAATTTTCAAACGAAATTATTTCTTATTATTCATTATTCGCTAGGATGTACATGTGCTTACGTAAAGAATGATGAGAGCACACATTGCCAAATGTGGTTCCACGCAAAAGATTAAAGACGCCATCACATTAACTTGGTCTCCTTGCAGATAATCATTATTCGAGACTTCCAAGAATATGCTTTAATATGCTCTCTTATTTTTTAAGCTTTACTTTATAAAAGCATTGCGTCCAGTATTATGACAGGACTTCGCTGGAGAATGAAATGAGTGAAAATCTAAGTCTCAGCTAACTTCCAAAAAAAATTTGATATTTCCGCCGGTAAAGAATTTGGCCAAGGGGTATAAAATCATTGCAATCGTGGACGCAGAAGAAAACTCAGGGATGTGGAATGGTAAAAAAATTAAACGATGTAAAACGGATGAACTGATAAGCAAAATGTTCAGAGAGAAGTGATATAAAGACTTGGGCTAAAGAAAAAAACCGAAATTCAAGAAAATTTGACTACAAGACAGATGAACATTGTGATACTCGTCTGAGGTCCGATACTTCAAAAGAAATGACCGCCGAGTTATGCCGCCCGTTCTAGACTACTATAGATGTAATGAATATTGCGCCTTAACTCTTGGCTTTCATTAAATGGAATTATTATATGAACCATCAGAGTTTCCATTCATCATCAAAAGTATTATCCACTATATAACTTCTAACAGAGTTGTAACAATTTAAACTGATTCTAAGACTTATTTATAAAAAGACGCCGAAATTTACTTCTTCGAATCTCAAATAATTGAATTTCCTATACTTAATTATCTCAGTTAAAACCTTCGAAGCGTTCATTGGCTTTTCTAATGATTCCGCAATAAAAAGTTTACGGCAGCTATATCGACAGTCAAATTAAAGAACACCAAAATTCACATTAGGAAGAAAAAAAAACTGATGATCGGGCAAATATTAAAATTCCATATTCTGGACGACCAGCTTATCCACATCTGCAAACACGGCAACACCAAGCTGCATTGCCGATAAGTCGCTACGAAGTTTCCGCGCAGTACGAAAATGCATTGAAAGTAACGATTCTTTCGGAAAACCCATGTGCTCTTTAAAAAGAAACCAAACTTAATTAATCAAAAACAAGACTACAACTAGAAATTTTTGCAACGAAAACCATGAGTGTCCAAAATGAAATCCAATCAGCACATGAAAGTTGAAGGTTCTATTTGAAGCAAACAAACATAAAGCAACAAAGTTCAATATTAACCCAGCATATATTACTGATTTCTCCGAAAACCAAAGCAAAAAAATGGTAAAAGTAACCTCGTAAGGCGCTATTTAATCCGTTAGCTGCTTGCACACGTTGTACTTGTTCAAGCAAATAGCGAAGTGATGTATCCAAAGGTTTTGTGTGACATATCAAAGCAAGAATATCCTGGAAAACAAAAATTAAGCAACTGACTAATCAAAGTCACTGGGAAACATTTTGTTTCATTCAGTCTGCACTAGACTATCGTTGATGACGCTGAAACATGAGCTCGCATTGATATAATAGTTCTTCGTCGTCATCTATCTTGTTTCAATACCACAATTATTGTCCTACCAAAATTATTGCAGAACTTGCCAACGCATGACAACATTCTTCCAATATTTTAAACCGTAGAATTAAAATCAAACATCTAAATCAAACGTTTATTTTCAAAAAAAACTCACGTGCATCCGGCGAACCAGATCTTCTGGTGGATTTACTATTTCTTGGCACAAAGAATTGATTTCTCGACCTAGTTTGAGGAGTCTTTCTATCTCTTCATATTGCATCATATCTTTTAGATCGCCACCCGTCCAACCTGGACATGAAGTAAATGTTCGTTCGGCACCACCAATAACATCTTCATGTGTGTCACCACAAGATGGATCTAAATAACGAACACAAATTTTGAACAGTAACAAATTAAACAATTCTGAATTTGAAATATCAAAATTGCCATAAATAAAATCATTTAAAAATGTTTTTTTTTTTTAGTAGAAGTAAACAAACTGGATAATATTAAGAGTGTTTTTAATTTTGTGACAAACCTTGATCTTCATCAATGATAGTGGTTGCTGATGTAACCGGTTGAGATACGCCGTTTGATACAGTACCATTACTTGTTGTGGCACTTCCATTGGATGCTGGAATTTTTGTATGTTCGTGGAATTCACTTTTCTTAAGGACCACAATTAAAATATAATGTCTCAGGATTTTGTAAGAATATGCTAAATATCCAAATTAGTTAACTCAAAACGAACTGGTGTCATTTAAACTTAGCTATTAGCTATCTCATTCAATTGTATTCAACGTCACTTATGTCGTACTTGAACCTTTCTCGAAAATATAACAAAGATCTAAAAAAAAGGAAGCAAAAAATCTACTGTGAACTGCTCCATTCGATGACGAAGAATGGTCACTTCCAGTTTTATCATCGACTAATTCATCAGCTGACACATTGCTGAAATTTATGCTATTAATTAGAAGAAATCAATAAAATAATTTCAAAAATTAAAAGGCTTGAGAAATAAGTAAAAACGAATAGAAGCAATGGTACCTTACCGAATAACACTGCTACTTGCTTGTGCAGGAGCAAGTCGGCTGCAATTTGCTTGTCCTCCCTCATTTCCCGTACGTGACCGACGAGTAACACATATGAAAGGTTCTGAAAATGATTTCAAATTAAAAAGAATCCGAAAACATACCTTTAGTTATCGCCTTTCTCCTAATGCACATTATTAACCCTGCACACAGTCAGAACTCTCTGATACATCATTTGAATGTATGCATGTATTAGTAAGTATAATTATGGTAAAATAACTGAAAACAAACCCCACTCATCGTTGCGTCGTTTGAACGGATTAACCGTACCCAGATTTTCATTACTGGCAGTAATTGTAAATGGATGCCCTTTTCTACTATACACTTGAGCATACGAATCACCTCCTGAAAATCATTATAATATTTCTTATTTCAAATCTTACACATTATATCCAATTAATATTCAAAACAACAACAGCGAAACGCTTCTACAGTTTCCAATTTCCATGCTGTCATTTCTGTTGAGAGCTGATCTATTATCATACACAAGAAAGCTTTTCAGAGTTCCGTAACATAATAACTAATTATGAAAATCCACAATATAATAGCTAACCACTTCATCATTCCACTTTGATTGTAAGTGATACATGAAAGAGTACATCTACCCATTTCATAGCCCCAGTCTTTTTAAAACAATGAAAATATTGAGAAAAGAACTGTAGTGAACAAAAATATCTATGCCAACCTGAGATTGTTGAAAGACTACTTTGTGCTGAACAAATTCCTTCCTTTGGGGATAACTTACTAGCCGAATCAAGCGAAGACACGGAAGAAATTATGATCTGGAATTAATATCTAGTCTTTTTAAAAATTAACAATTCACAATAATAGTATTAATAGTTCTACAAAAAGCATTTTATCGATTTGTCAAAATTCTACATAAGAAAAATCCTGTCCTTCGGCACACTGCGCTTTCCTCTAATAAACGGCCACAATTTCGCTTCGACTCTGTGGAAGTGACTCGCGATGCCTACTCTAATCTTTGCTATATCTCAATTATTATTTAATAGCAAACTGTAATGGTAGACATATAAGAAAGTATTTCACAATAGTAACAGACTGCAGTTTACTGATAACCAGAAATAACCCTTACATTATTTGCTTTAGCATAAATCTCCACGTAATACTGACAATTCAATAGTAATGCTAATTCTTTATTCTGCTCCAGCAAATCCGGGCATAAAGCTCGTGCACGATCGATTGCTTTGCCGACTTCACCATCCAAAATCATTTGTTTCAATTCTGTAAATGGATATACTAAAAAAAGTAAAAAATTTTAATGAAATTAGCTGAAATATGACGTCTAAGCAAACTGGGAATAGGTGCAAAAATTCATGCAAAAACTATTATTTAATTTTCGAATCCATTATAAGATATTTTGCAAGTAACAAAAGAGCAATAGCAGTTGAATCATCTTTATATGCATTTAAACAGTCCAACTGTTTCAATTTCTAATTATGATCCTCCATCATAATCAACAGAACTGCATCAATATAAACGTCATTGATGCGTCACGCATAATCACATCTTGAAATAGAACGGCTTTGCGCCAAAGAGCAAATTCATCGGTAAGAAAAAGATACAGAACTCTTCAAAATCAAAGACACTCGCAACCGAATTTTGTGCTTCGCGCAACTATACACTTCGACTACATGGAGTCATTGGTATAGTAATAAATTCCATAAATTTTTTAGTTATGAATTTAAGGAGAACCGCACTGAGAACTGGAAAACACCTGAAAATGCAAAATATCGAAAAATCAAAACTAAAATTTCTCAACCTCGACGTCTTTCTAACATATCACTTGATTCCTCTTCTCCTCTCTCCATTTGTACGTCACCAGTTTCGTCCAGATTCTGATCAGCATGTTTCTTGAAAGCAGCCAATGCTCTTCCATATCCTTCATGTAATAACCACGAAGATATTGCGCTAAAAATAGGAATAAATATGTCCTGAAAAAAAAAATGTCCCTCATCACTTTTTCTCACCCAGTTTTCCCTTTTATCTCATCACTTGAATCTGCAAAATGTATTATGCATCCATTACTTACCGATCCATCCAACCCGTTTTTGCTTGTGGCAGCACAACCTGGCATATTTGTTCATATGTATAATTGCGCGCATCCTGGAAAACTTTGGTAAATGGTTCAACACTTTCTTTCGGAGGAAACTTCATTAAATTGGATAATTTGAAAAAGACTTCTTTGTCTTCATGAATAAATAACTGAAAAATAGTGTGAATATCAGTATCTCATATTATATCATTCTTTTTCGAAAATCAATTTAAGCTGACATCAAATAAATTATGGTATCATCTTATAAGGACGTTCAGGTGCACTATACTTCTTGACACAATGCAAGTGCATAACCAGTAACGAAAGTCATTCTCCAAATTAATATTCATTTTAGCAATCAACCTGATTAAAACAGCTGCAACTACAAACTTTTTTCCAAATGGCTAATGCTCGATCTATCTCGCACATAATTGCATCAACAGTGCAGAACACAGTGCACTATATTTTCTTACAATTTTTGTTTATTGCTATTCCGCCTGACTGTTTTATTGCTATCGAAATGAAAGAGAACAAAGAGATGTAGAGAATTAGCGCTGCATGGAATACAATGATGACCTTGAATTCTTGTTCGATATCGTACTTGAAAGGATATTGACCAAAGTTCGAATCTGCAATCGCACCATGTTTTTGAAGACCAATCATTGGATACAAATCAACAACATTTTCAACTTCCATTATAGCAATACCTGCAATAAAAAATAACAAGGATGAACAGTACAAAAGACTTTACAAACAATTGGAATAAAGCAATTATTCATGAAAATAAACAAATCAATATAGTATTTCATACGACATCTTTCTTTATTCACCGTCTTCTTTTCTTTGACTAGTATGCGCAATCGATAATTGTCTCCCATAAAACGTTCACATTTTAAAATATGATGAAACGCCCAAACAATTTCGAAAATCGAAGCTATTACGTAACGATGTAGTTTGTGGTTCAGGCTCACGGTAGATCAGCAGGTATCAGCTTTGCTTTGACTTTTGCAAAAAAAATCTGGCAAAGAATAAATAAAATATGAACTAACCCAAGTGTCGACCATTTTTTGTGAAAAATATTGATTTTCTAACGAAGTCTACACCACAACCAATAACATCGTTCATCTTAAATGTGGGTCCATATGCATGTCCAGTGCCTGATGAGCAAAAGAAATTGCCATCGTCACCATGATAACCGTATGATGCTCTGTCCCAGCCTAAATTTCATAATTATTAAAAGTTTTCTTTTCAATTTATATACTCATCCTCTTCTACCACTGTCGTACTGTTACAAGTACAACATCTTCAGGGATACCATGATAACGCTACCACAATGGCTAAAACAAATTATATGGCTGAAGATCAAACAACGTATGAGGGCAATTCATGACCACCTGACCCATTTGAAATACTGAAGCGTAAATGACCAGTAAATGCAAAGCAATGACTCATGTTTATTACAAAAGTTTTAAGAGAGAGTATTTAAGCCGTCCTCCGTCTCTTCTCACCAATCTTTTTCTATGGCATATCTACCGCTATATGCAATGCAAACCTGGCAATCTATTCAGATCGACATTTCGTTCACATAATCCAACACCCATACAACATTCAGCTCCGCTACACACTATCGTTACTTCGAAGTAGTACACACCACATGTTATCGGGATTGGATGATCGGCGCGCACCGCTGCAGCATCCTTTGCATTCAACTCCTGATTGGGATCCCCACTATCTGTACAAGAAAAAAAAATACAAGAATGCGAAGACCAATAAATAAAAGATTTCGAAACTTTAATATTGGAATATATAAAGTCAAAAACGTCACTATTTGAAATTAGTTAACAATACACACCAGCATAAGCAACGTTCCGGTAATCATTTGTAACAACCAATGATGCCGCTTTATCCTGATGGCTCCAATGTGCTGGTAACGGTGTTTTCTGAAACAATTATTGAAACTATGCAAATGCCCGAGAATAGTTCGGTTGTTTCATTTCTCTTCAAAATGCATGTAGACTCAGTTCTTTTGGAATTTCAGGAAATTAGTTCTAAAGATATCGAAGTCGATCATTTCCCAATACTAATATTTCGTTGTTGTTTACAAATAATCTGCATCTTTTCTTTATCTATTTTAAATATTTGGAGCACACATTCTAAATTATATTTAAATTTTATCTTCTAAGAGATTTGCTTGCATTACAGTAGGTATTAAGTTGGATATACACTGCAAAAAGTATAGCGTGTGCCCGGACATGCAAAAGCATCGATTCTGAAATGTAAAGGAAATTTCTACGAAACTTGGTTTTAGCGATCATGACAATTTACATGGTCATGAAAATCAGACATAAAGAAGAGTATGCACCTTTTGGTCTACAAAAGGATAAAGCTGCAGCAAACGTTCATTGACTTCTTTGGGCTGTTCTCCTGCACATATCACTTTATATCGTGGTCTCCTACGCCTCATTGCCGGATCAGGACTCAAGCTTTTCACCTCAACAACATCATCCAGTGGCGCATCATCAAAATCCTGCAATATTTAAACCCTACTTTTGTTCCCTGAATATGCAAAAATTCTAAAATTTATTTCAAAATATTAATTTCTGACGCAGAATTAATGGCGGATAATTCAGGGATTACACTGAAAGATAAATAGGCTTATCTTAAAGTAAAAAATTTGAAACCTACATTCACTGTTTTTTGTTTCAGAATTTCAACTAATTACACAGCAATTTTCAAACTCTATGATCTTTTCTACCAGCTTTTATCCCACATACTTCTTACAGTTAAATACATGCGCGACAACGCAAACAATAGCTTGACGTAAATTCCGTGCAAGATTACTCCGTCAAATAGCTAATTGAACAGCGATAAAGATCACTGCACACGACAGTAAAGGTATTCAATACAAATCCTTTAAAGTTTCATAATGAACATTCGTTGAAGTTAAAATACTAAATTTTCGGACTATTCTGAATGAGATGCTTTCCTATGAATGATTTTCCGTAAATTTGTCGGCGAAAAAGAGATTTCCTGAACAGACTTCAATTCAAAAGACAAATCGTGGAGCGATGTTTGTAGTCGGAGGAATCTATGACTTCCATGCGTATACATTTCTTCCAACAATTTCCCGAAACAACAAATTTCAGGAAAAAAGTCTGTTTATATATCAAATTCATCGATGACAAATCGATTAAAAACTATTCATAATAAGAAAATTACATTTTGTAATACTTCAACTTCCATAGCCATTTTCCTCCTTGCTTTCCACACCTCGAGGTAACAAACAACAACAGCCGGCCACACCACCTCACAACCGGCGATCGACACTTCTCTACCCCGGATATCTCGAGTTACAGGCTTTATCTGAAAATGAAAAAATTCATGCTATCAGTTAAATTCTTTTTAAAGACAAAAAAAGATCTACAATGCATCTCTAAAATCCTGAATAACAATAATCGAATCTGTCATTTTAAATTCACTTGTTATCATTACTTTCCAACTATCCGTATAATTCAATCGTTTTTTCGGAGACAATTTAGGAGATTCTATATTGGATTGAACTGCAATCTCTTTTTGAGAACTGATAAACTATTTGTTGAATTTATTAATGAAAACTCCAGAATGCTTTGTGAAAAACCCAAATTCACCTTTTTTCCTCACAAAAAAAAATCCACAAAAGAAAATAAATATCAATGAGCAGGATAAAACTGTCTGAAAAACCAACTGATCACAACCGGAAAATAATTTCCCGGCATTTGATACGAAGAAACTTTCCGGAGCATTCTTTCCTGGCGCCCTCTAATTGTTTCAGTTGTCATCAGATCACATATAAGAAGTAATACTTACTATTAAATATGATGTACTTTGTATATATAGATTTTTTTTTTATATAAAGTCCCGATACTAGAAGTGCCAATAAATCCACTATAAAATAATGGAGTAATATCAAAGGACTCCATAAAAACAAAGCCAAAATCTCGCGGTATCGCGGTATGGCTAGTTGGAGTTCATAAAAGGCAATATATCTCATAGCTTGCTCTCCAACAAACATACAAAAATTGCCTCGACCAGAGAGCACAGTACGATGGACTCGTCTACATTATTGATCACCGAACTAAATATTTTGCTTTGTGCAAAGCAACTGATTTAACTAACACAGTATGAAAGCGGGCGTGCTAAGACCCAAAATGATATGTTTGAGAAAGAGAGAAAAAGGAGAAAGTAACGATGAAGCTGTTTATCGCTATATCTGTCATCATTTCATCGTATATGATTAGCTAGTGTTAATAACAATTAATATGGTTGATAATTATCGCATTATTGCGCTATATCGTTTTTATCACATATTGCTGCATTGTTTATAGTGATAAGAGTGATAAGAGATTAAAAAAAAAAGAACAAAAAAGAAAAACGATGATAAAGCTCTTCCTTTACTAATGCAACATTTTCATCATATATTATTGCAGCTATACTCATGCAGCTATACTCATTTATTCATAGTGATCAGAGTGATAACATGCATTTAATAACGCATGGATACAACACATCAGCTAATATAAACAAAGAATGATAATTTCTATTTTAATTAAACTAAACCTATTAAATGCATATATGAATCGTAAGTACTGTGCACTATTTATTGTATTACAATAATTAACAAAATTAATAGTTATAGCATCACTAAACTACTTAATATAATATTTTGAAATTCTAGAATGCTATAAAAATATTTGATTGCCTAAACTTCTAAACTATTTAGAAATGAATTCGAGTTAATATACACAACTAGTTATCATCGCTTTCTCTCCTTCGCTTCCTCTCTCTCTCTCTTCCTCTTCTCTTCTATAATTTATTGTTATTCTCTTATTGTATAGTTTTTCAAAACCTGAAACGCTTCATTTTATAATAGAGCAAACTTTGATAATATCTACTAATTCTGAATTTCATTCAATAGAAACGAAGTGTTGAAGTATACCAGTAGATCCTTTTATGTTTTCTTTTATCAAAATTTTATTTACTTCTACCCTTCCAACTTTTCCAGTTTTTCAACAGGGCATTTTCATTTTAAAATTAACTTGTGATATTGAATTAAAAATTTCACATTACATTTCAATCATGTTTATTTTATGCTTGATTTTACTACTTATTCTACTTTTTTCCATATACTTTATCAATGTAGAAGTATAATAGTTTTGAAATTATTTTTAAACATTGAAAATATCGAGAAGTAAATCGAATGGAATAAGTTGAAAATGTAGTAAACAAGTTATTTAGTTAATTACATAGTTCCTAAATTATTTTAGGCATTTAAAATATAGATAAGTAAATCGAATAAGGATATGGTATAAGTTGAAAATGTAGTAAACAAATTATTTAGTTAACTATATTAAACATATAAAATATCGATCAGTAAATCGTATGAGAATATGGAATAAGTTGAAAATGTAGTAAACAAGTTATTTAGTTCATTATATAGTTCCTAAATTATTTTAGGCATTTAAAATATTAAATAAGTAAATCGAATAAGGATATGGAATAAGTTGAAAATTGTAGTAAACAAGTTATTTAGTTAAGTGTATCGTTTCTAAATTATTTTTAGCATTGAAAATATCGATCAGTAAATCGAATAGCTATATGGAATAAGTTCTTCAAATATCGCATAATATTTTCAACAAATTAAATTTTTATTGAAATAATTGATGTTCAAATTATATTTAACGAATATTTATTATTATTCCTGAATTGTTAATGAATTGTTAATTGTTAAATTGTTGATTAAACTTTTGTTTAATTTAAATCAAATTAAATTTAATCGTTTTTTTTAATTTAATTAAATTTTAATTTAAATTGTTAATAAATAAGTTATTTCGTTAAATATATCATTTCGAAATTATTTTTATAAACATTTCAAACATCGATAAATAAATCATCGAAGAATATGGAATATGTTGAAAATTGTAGTAAACATGATTATTTCGTTCGTTGTTTTCTTTTTCCAGATTTTTCTACTTGTTCAAAATTTATTTAAAAAAATTCTCATATTTTTTCATTCTATTTTCATTCGAATATTACATCAAATTTTTGTTTACTTCAACTAATCTTTCGCATCAACCATCAATCAACGATTAACGATGGTTTAAAATGCAACTTAGAACAAATTTAATTATAAAAGCTCTATTGATCCATTTGAACAAAAATAATAATCATCGATAAATGTAAGCATAAAATATTTAGGCATTATAGAGATGCCGAATTTGGCCACCTTTTTTTACCGTTGTTTTATAGAGATGCTAAATTTGGCCGACTTTTTTAATCGCTGTTTTATAGAGATGCCATATTTGGCCACTTTTTTAATCGCTCTTTTATAGAGATGCCATATTTGGCCACTTTTTTCACCGTTGTTTTATAAAGATGCCAAATTTGGCTGGCCACTTTTTCGTTTGATTTTATTTTAGCCATCGTTTCCTTTGATTTTATTTTAATTGTTCATTTTTTAAAATAATACCTGTTACATAGTAGAAAATTTAAAATTGAACTATACGAAGATAATAACATTATTTATATGATACATTATTATTTGATGGAAGATAAATGCAACAAATATGTTTAAAAACTAGAAAGAGTAATTTTACATTTTGCATAGCAATATTAATCAATGTTTGAAACAAACAAACAAAACAAATCCATTTCAACTGAAACAAACAAATCCATTTCAACGGAATCGTTGAAATGGATTTGTTTGTTTATTTTTTTTTTGAGAATTTTTTTCAAAATACTATTTTATATTATCAAATATTTCATTATGAGAGAAATGATAAATTTTTCAAATGTTTACAACAATTTCACAATTTTCATAGTCATCATTGTTTTGATCGAATTCATTTTGATTGATATTAAGCAATTAGAATTCGTTTTAATCATCAAGAAAAAAAAAATTCATTGTATTGAGTAAAAAATAATTAATTAACAAATTTTACATTTTCGATAAAACAAAAAAAGAAATTAATTATACAATTTTTGATAAATTTTAATTGAAAATATTTTTTTAAAACAAATTTTTCACAAATGTATGGGTTAGTTTCGGATAATATAAAATAATTAATTTTGCAATTTTTCAAATATATTTCTGATAATTTTTATTATTACGTGCATGAGAGATTTAAATATGATAAATCGAAATTATGCAAAAGAAAATTAATGATAAAAAAAAAGATAGAAAAAATATGAAATTATCAAGTTAACAACAATTCTTCAAATATCGCATAATATTTTTCAACAAATTAAATTTTTATTAAAAAACCGGATAATATTTTTTACCAAATTAAATTTCTACTAAAATACCGCATAATATTTTCAACAAATTAAATTTTTATTCAAATACTTGTTATTCAAATATATTTATTATTATTCCTGAATATATCAATATACAGTTTTATCATCATTGAAATTACAATGATTTTATAATAACGAATAATGTTAATTTAAAATTTAAATTATTTGTCATTGAAAAATTAATTATTGAATAATAAAGTATTAGCCATAAAAAGTATTCCTATCATCAATTGGTTTTAGGGAATGTATAAGAAGTGAAGGATGATGATGATTATTATTATTATTATTATTACTATTATTCTTGCTCGTTTCACCATTTGATGGCTTATGATTTCGTTGTTCAATCGATAATGGAATGATATCGGTTGTCACATTATGATGTGTTAAACGTGAAGCTGCTGGTGCTGGTAGTAAACTAAATTGATAAAAAAATTAATGATCATATAAATTTATGATAAAAACAAAAAGAATAATTAATTACAAGAAATTAATTTAATTCAAAAATTAAATTTAATTAATTTTAAAATAATTAAAAGTATCAGGTTTGGGATAAAGAACGAATACTTACTGCGGATCAGCTTTAGTGATTGGTCGCGGATTTCTGAATGGTTTACGTTGATGTTTCATTCCAAATTTTGCACGATGACGACTGTTTTTCCGTTTTTTCTCAAATCTTTTCTTAAGTAAATAACCGATAAAACCGGAAATAATCAAAAATATACAACCGGAAATTATTGCCGTAAGAAGTATTGTTCGTGCTTCCGTTGCATTCTCCAATTTATTACCTAAGGAAAAAATGAAGTGAAATATTTTCATTAATTTTATATGAAAAAAAAAACAATAATGAGAAATTGTAATTTCTTCTTTTGTTTTAGAATTAAATAAATAATTAATTAGTATTTATAATTTTAAATTATTTATTATTTATTATTTGAAATAAATTTTTAGAATTAAATTTTTCAAAAAGATGATAAATTATTAAATCTTATTTGAAGAGAGAGATAGAGAGAGAGAGAGAGAGAAAATTAATGTGTAATTTTATAGTTAGTAGATATAGTTAATAATTAATTATTAGAATTAATTAAATTAATTAATTTTTAGAATTAAATAAATTATTGCAAAATTTTAACAACATTTTAGATTTGTTATTAATTAAACCTTTTTATTAATTAAATTAAATTAAATAAATTTTTCTTTTGTTTTTAAAAAGTGAATTTTCAAAAATTAAATTTTCCGAAAAGAAAAGATAAATTATTAAATATTATTTGAATTAGAGAAATTGCGAGAGAGAGAAAGAGAGAAAAAGAAAGAGAGAGAGAAAGAGAGAGAAAATTTATGTGTAATTTTATAGTTCGTAAGTAGTATTATTACTAATAATGATTCGTCAATATAGCTAACTAACTGCTAACAAACTTCATTTTATCCTCATTTGACATTTGATTGTTTACTCGTTTTATTTTCAATTCCTTCCATCCTTCAATCCTTTTACTCTTTTCCACACTTTTAAAATAAACAACAAACAATAATACTATCATTTAATGATAACATTTCAAATGATAATTTACGAATGATAAAATATTCGACCAAATTATTTGACATAAATTATTTATCAAAATGAAAATTCAATTAAATAATGGATGAATTCATTCATGCATGCAATTATATGCATGAATTAATTAATTAATTAATTAATTAATTGAAATTAGAGTAATGAAAGAGGAAAAAATTAAAATGATTTTTTTAGAAAAATATTTTCGATTTCAAAATTTTGAATATTAGAAAGAATTATAAATTATAAATAATACAAATAAACAAATTTGTTTGTTAATTGATAAATAATATACGTCTTAAAATAACTAATAATATACATCTTAAATTAACCTGAATTTTAGAACTAATAATATACATCCTAAATTAATCTGAATTAAGTAACTAATAATATACGTCCTAAATTAACCTGAATTATATTGCTAGTAATATGCATCCTAAAATAATCTGAATTTAGTTTGAATTAAATAACTAGTAATATACATTCTCAATAAATCCGAATTGAATAATTAATAACATACATCCTAAATAAACCTGAGTTAAACTACTAATGATATACATTCTAAATTAACCTGAATTTTATTTGAATTAAATAACTAATAATATACATCCTCAATGAACCTGAATTTAATAATGATGTAATCCTAAATTAATCCAAATTTTATGACTAATATACATCTAAATTAATCCAAACTAATAATATACATCCTAAATTAACCTGAATTAAATAACTAATAATACACATTCTCAATGAACGTGAATTAAATAATAATATACATCCGAAATTAACCTGAATTAAACTACCAACAATATGCATCCTAAATTAATCTGAATTTCAAATAACCATTAGATGATATTCAAATAACTATTTCAGATGGTATATGTTTACACTTCATAATAATATATTAGCTATGAGTATATAATAAAAGTTACAATATTTAATTTGTTGAAATGATTGAATATGAGAAATTCCTGTGATACAATAATATACAATAATATAAGTATTGTTTTAAAAAAAAAGTTAACTTAATTATATCATAATAAAATTTAATTTTATCAAAAATTTATTCTAAAAGAGCAAATATACAATACATTCTTTATATAATGATAATTTTTCACTCTTTATTATAATAATAATGATAAATTTGTTATACATAATTACGAAAAATAAATATAAATATTACAAATAAACAATTTGTTTATTAATTTATAAAATAATATCCATCTCAAATTAATTAATAATATATATGGTTTAAATTAACATATCGTAAAAGAGAAATTAATTAAATTTTATTGTAAGTAAAAAAAATTTAATTTCATTTTAAAAAAGTAAACACATACAGTGTGCTTCATCAGTATCATCATGTAAACCACAATTTTCATCACCATTACACTTCAAACGAGCATCAATGCATAATTTTGTATATGTACAAAGATGCATCGTTGGATGCGAACATTCATCATCATCATCGTCAACATCTTCTGCAAAAAGTAAAGTAAAATTTAAATAATAGAAATTTTAAGAAGCAAAAATAAATAAATGAATAAATAAATAAATAAATAAAATAAATAAACAAACAAATAAATAAATAAATAAATAAAAAAAAAAAATAAAATTAAAAAAAAAAATTTTCTTACATATAATTAAGGAATAAAAATAAATAAATAAATAAATAAACAAATAAATAAATAAACAAACAAACAAATAAATAAATAAATAAAAAAGAAAAATGATATTAAAAAAAAATTTTCTTACATATAATTAAGGAATAATAAAAAAAAAAATCTTCAAAACAAACATATTAATATTCATTTAAATGTAATGTTTTTGAATTATTTCAATTCTAACTAATTAAATAAATAAATAAATAAACAAATAAACAAATAAATAAACAAAAAGAGAAAAATAATATCAAAAAAAAAATTTTTGTTATTTATAATTAGGAAAAATCTTCAAAACAAATATATTATTATTATTCATTTAAATGAATTCGTAAATTTTTCATTTTCATTCAAACATTACAATAATTTCCAATTAATTCAATTCCAATAAATATTATTTGCTTTGATCGAAAAATAAAAGAGGCCAAGACAATTTTAATTTCATTTCTAAATTTCATAAATTACATTCTTAAGAAGGAATTGTTATAAATGAATTTTAATATGTTATTGGTCAATTTCATGCAAAATGTGCAATTGACCGAAAAGATTCAATTGACCAATAACATCTTTTATAATATCCATTTAGAAATTTCATATGAAAATTTTCAATAACATTTTGTACATCAATTAAATAATTTAATTCGGTTTACTATAAAATTAATATATGTCGTTTTGTTTTTGTTTTTGTTTTTCAGTGATTAATTAGAGGAAAAAATAGAAATAATTTAATTTACCTTTTTTTTTTACTACAAAATTGGCATATATCATTTTTGTTTTTAAGTGATTAATTAGAGGTAAGAATAGAAACAATTTATTTAACCTTTTTTTTCTTACTACAATATTTATATATATATATATCATTTTGGTTTTGTTTTTGTTTTTCGGTGATTAATTAGAGAAAAGAATAGAAATTTCAAAATTTTTTTAGTGAAATATAATTAGTAAAAAATTACCGGTTATTTTTTTAACTTCTGTCCAGGTAAAATTAAAACCTTTCAAACCGTTTACTTTATCTGGTGATGTGAAAAATCTGAAACAAAAAAGTAATCTAATTAATAAGTCGAATAATGTGAATGATTTTATTTTCAAATTTTACAACAAATATCTTATAGTTTTTTTTTTTTTTGATTTAAAATAATTAATTAATTATTTAGCAATTCTGAAATAATAACATTTTACATGAAAAAGATGTAAATTGACTGATAAAAATACTGCCATTATCATTTTTGATAAAAAAATTAATTAGGAATTAAATTTTAATTTTGATAAGAATTAAATTCAGTTGAAATGGTTATCTTTTTTGTTGAGAATTTATTTCAAATATAAGGATGAAATTTAGAAAATATTACCTAATTCGGACAGTGTTGTTTTTAGAAATGATTGGAGGTATGAGAGTTTCATCAGTACCACAAATCTCTTGCGCTGATAGACCAGCATCAGCATCATATTCAGCATATACGCGAATTACCGCATTTTGACAATTTACTGATTCCGCAGTCATTGCACCCTCTATTTCCATTTTTAGAAGATGAAGTAATATCTTCAATATGGGATTAAATTTTTTTGACTTTATTATAATATGCTTTAAATTATCAAAGTTTTTTTTTCTGAACTATGAATTTCATTGTTTTAATTAATTTCATAAATTTGTCTGTTTGCTTGATTTAATAAGAAATTAATTCAAGTGTAAGTTTTTTTCTGAATCCATTTTTAAATTAAAACTATTAAACCTAAAAATTTCAAAGATAAAATGATACCTGATGATTTGGTCGTACAGTAATTTCCCAATCACAAATCAAATCTTTATTGTATTTGATCGGATAACCAGGTGATATAAACCAACCACTGGTCAAATCATCTGTTCGACTTATTCGTTGACCACAATGTCGAGCAACTGCTAAAAAAAATTTCCTACATCCTACATTTCCTACATTTCATACATTATACATTTCTACAACATACATTTCCTACATCCTACATTTCCTACAAATATCATAATAATTACAGCATTTGATATTCAGGCATTTTTTTGAAAAATTCAAAATTAAAAAATGAATGAAATATTTTACCAAATTTAAAATTCCATCACTTTTAACTGAATTTTAAGAAAAAATCAGGCCGATCTTATTTTGAATAAAATTTATTAAAATATTATTCCATTTATTTTCGAGAAAATAAGTAAAATAATTAATTAAAATTAATGATGAGATATTTGCACGAACGTATTGTTGGGATTTCCTCGGTGAATGCTTCACGAATTTGATAAATTGCTTTAAAGCCATTACCGGTACCTTCATGATCAGAGTGGAAAAAAACCCGTAATTCATGTGAACCAAATGCGGTTACTGTTGGTCCCGGAAATGTATTCGCACAATAACGAGCTAAAAAATTTCCCTTTAGTTTTTATAAGTAACTTTTGAAATATTTTAATAATAAACCATAATTTCTTCAAATGTTAAAACAATTGGATAAATTTAATTAACAAATTAATTTAAATTTAAAGTATTCTTGTTTTCACCTTGAAGTTGCAAAATTTCCACTCCATTTTTAACAAAAACATCCGATATTTCGAGAAAATCAGCACAACTGAAATAAAAATTCAAAATTCATTTTTATAAAATATTTGTTTTTAATAAAAAGAAATAACACTCTCTAATTATTATCAGTTAATTACGTATTTCTGAGAGTTGCGTTGTTATCAGTGGAATTGAACAGATGATTTCATGGCTTATTGTACTCTTATCAGTATAGCAAAACTAAGATCTTATCAGTATATCGTTTATTTGCAATCATATTCAACAGAAAAGTTGTTGCAGTCATATTCAACAGAAAAGTTGTTGCAGTCATATTCAACACAAAAGTTGTTGCAATCATTTCTGATGTAAAATCATTTTATCGAAAAGGAATGATTACAATTGTTAATTAATTATGATAGTCTTCATATATAATAAGATATAGTAAACGTAATACGTCATTTACGTGTGTAATTATTTTTACTTACCGCGAATAATTTATCGATTAAACCTCAACATTCGAAAATTCGGAAATTAAAATACAATAATGAAAAAACGCGTAACCTTGTTTGAATTGATGTTGACTGTTCATCAACATAAAGAGCAAATTGTTCGAAATAAACTTGAATTTGCTCATTCGGTTTTGCTTTAATAATATAAGTACAATTGGTGTCCAATGGATACTGTAAATGAATGTTACAAAAAAATTACAGTAGCATTTTAATAAAATAAAATAAAAAAAGTTATAGTAAAGCTTACATTTGCTGGATACCGTGGACTATTGAACCATCCATGTGGCTTTATAAATTGAAATACACATTGATTTGAATCACCAGTTGGTTGACCCGGAATACCGAAATCTATAAAATGATGATAAATCAAATGATAACTAATCTAGCGATTGTTTTAATTATTAAAACGATAACAAATCTAGCGATTGTTTTAATTATTAAAACGATAACTGATCTAGCGATTGTTTTTAATTTATTTATTCTTATTTTTAGTATCGTAAATTTAAATTAATTTTAAAATAAATAACACTTCAGCAACTATTAATAGTAATATTTAAAAATTGGAAAAAATTTTTTAGTATTGTAAATTTAATTTAATTTTATAATAAATAACATTTTAATTACTATTAATAGTAATACTTGAAATTAGCAAAATATTTTTAAGTATTTTGAATTTAAATTAATTTCATAATAAACAACATTTCAGTAACTATTAATAGTAGTACTTGAAATTAGTAAAATATTCTTTCGTATTTTGAATTTAAATTAATTTCATAATACATAATATTTAGTACCTGTTTTAAATTGAATTTTTGCTTTAAATCCTAATGGCTTCTGTCCATCACCATTAGAAACTTTTTCATTGGAACTAAATACTAATACCATTCTTGGCCCATCACTAATATAAGGACCCAAAGCATTCGAACCTATAAATTATCTAAAAATATTAATTTCATTTCAGTATTTTTGTAATTTGAATTTCTATCATTTATTTAACAAAATATTTTGTGAAATTACTATCAAATAAAAATAATTTTAATTGCGTATATTTTGTTGAAAGATGAAAATTTTAGATGTAAAAATAACAAAATTATAATTTATGCAAATTAGATGAAAATTTATTACAAATATAATTAAATATCAAAATCACCAACTTATAAAAATTTAGGTAAAAGATGAAAAGTTTCTTTTTTAAATATCAAATTACAATTTATACACATTTATATTATACCTAAAATAATTACAGTAATTTGATTATACAATTTTAAATTTATAATTCTTTTCAAATTAGTACTAAAAAAGGATGAATGATATATAAAATAATCACAATAATTTGATCATATAATTTTAGATTTAAAATTCCTTTAAAATCAGTATTAAAAAGGATGAATGATACCTAAAATAATTACAGTAATTTGATTATACAATTTTAAATTTACAATTCTTTTCAAATTAGTATGAAAAAAAGGATGAATAAAATTTTGAAATCAAAATTTTTAATAAATTAAAAATATTATAAAATAACCATTTTGCAAGCGATCACATAGCATAACATCATAAGTACTTTCATCAATGGATGATAAAACACTTTTAATAGTTGTTGGAATGAATGCAATACCCACGTAGGATGTTGCACATGGTTCCTCGTCGTAATCTGTTGAGGTATGCGACAAATGAATTGGATTAATACTAAAATTAAAAATGAACAAATAATTTTCAAAAAGAAGAGAAAGAATGGCTAATTTTACTTTTTAATTATTCTAAAAAAAATTAATAGAACATAGAAAAATTAAATATAATTTGAATATAAACAAATTAAGTAGAATAATACAAATCAAACAAATTAATACAAATTAAATAAAATAGTAGAAATTAAACAAATTAATGCAAATTAAATAAAATAATACAAATCAAACAAACCAATACAAATTAATACCAATTAAATAAAATAATAGAAATTAAACAAATTAATACAAATTAAATAAAATAATGGAAATTAAACAAATTAATATAAATTAAACAAATTAAGTATAATTTGAATAATTTTAAAACATTATATTAAATGATAGAATAAAATTTTAATTTTATTTAGTAAAAGAATAAATCATTTGATTGTTCTTTATGCTTTTATTAATTCTTATTAATTAATAAATAGAAAAATGAAAATTTATTAATTTAACTAACCTCTCAATTGTTTCACTTAAAACAGCAAATGTCTCGAATGTAAGTATTACTTCTTCGAGATTTTGTTCACCTTGTAAACCATCAATAATAAATGTGCATGTTGTATTTGCCGGATACATTAATGGATACTAAATAAATTTAATATCAGTTAAAATTACAATTTCTTTTTGAAATATAATATATATGTAAATGTATAGTTAAAATATCATTGTCTGCTATGGAATTTTAATATTAATTAAAATTGCAATTTTTTAAAATATAATTTAAATTATTCCATTAATTAATTGCTTTTAATTATCTACACTTTTGTTATATTTATTTGTTTTTAAAAATTTCACTTATTTTATTTATGTATATCAATTATTAAATATTTTCGATTTAAAAATAACTGTATAAATATGTCTCAAATTTTTTACTTCAGAAAAATCGATTTAAATTTATCAATCCTAAAATTAACAACTGTAAACATACTTTAGGAGAATGTATGTAATGGATTGTTTCACGATTACTTCGTACAAGTAAATCACATTCTGAACCACGTAAATGTGTTATTCCTAATTGATTATCCATTAATTTTAATACATCCACATAACGATTTGAGAATTCATAATCTAATGAATATCTATAATAAATAATAATAATAATAATGGCAATAGCAATAACAGCAACAACAACAAACAACAATAACAACAACGATAACGACAACAACAACAACAAATAACAACAACAACAACAACAAACAACAACAGCGATAACAATAATCGATAATTGGATACATTTGAATAGGAAGTAAATGAAGTATAGCAAGTTTAAATAAATTATATAAATAAAATTATATATTTACCCTCGTGGATCAGCTTTAGCTGGACTTGTCGTATTAAATTCAATAAATATATTTGGCCCAAATGAATAAATTACCATACGATGCTGTAAGCCACATATTTTTCGAATAATTGGATGCTTATTACTTGGACCATCATATACTGTTAATGAATCATATGGACAGCTAAAAAATTTTTATTTATTTTCTTTTTACTTTTTT